CATAGAATGAATAATTTTCTTTTTAAAAGTTGTGTGACAGACATTGCTTCTCTGTTTTCTTTTTTGAAAGATATTAACTTGAAAGTAATTTCTTGTCATATCTGCTTTGCTTTCATCTGAGTATTATGTTTTTTCTCAACTGAAACATGTATCTGTAATATGTGTTAATTTGTGTGCCAGAGTGTACAGTTCTGCTTGGGGTTTCTGTCATTTCAACTTCTACTGCAGCAGTGTATTGTAGCCATAGATCTGAAAACATATATCCATTTCATAAGTCAGTTGTGTCCATGTGATGTTTCAAAGTCTTAGATTTTCTTTACTGTATGCTCAGTGAGGTTTTTAGGAAGAAAATATTGATCTCATCTCTTAAGCTGGGATTCATCTCACCTAATTTCAGTTTGCTTACAGTTAGGTGTCTAGGTGTAAGTTATTTGCTGTAGATATCCCATATATTAAAACAGGTGATTTACATGATTTATCTCATTTTCTCCATTGATTATGAAGGGAGCCCAGGATGTGTACATTTTGATATCTCAACTTCGAGATACCTAAATTAGGACCAGAATTATCCTGTCTTTAATGAAGGCATTTCAAGGTCGTGGGTCACCCTATGAGAACAGAAGCAGCATAGATCCCATGCAGTCTTAATGCAAAATGAAAAGGTGAGGCCAAAGTAAATGTGGAAACTGAACTCTGCTCTGGTTTAGTGGATGTTGCACCAAAACTAGTGCTGATTTGGTGCTTGACTCTTGCTTTTCAAGCTCTGCCAATTGTGGGTCAGTCACAGTTAGAAACCTCACAGGCAATAATTCTCTCCTAATCATTTTGCTTGGCCATTAGAGATGGTAAGAGAAGCCTTAGAGACGCTCTGCATTCAATGGCTTGAAGTTCCAAGGGATAACTGAAAGTGATGGTCTGTCAATCACTTCTTTTTTGTCAAAACCTTCCTGGAAAACCCAGTTGTAGGAGATGGGATGGAGCAAAGTGAGAGAGGTTGGTGGATCTGCTGTGTCACCCAAATGGCAGAAAGCAAAGCAGAACAGGTCCAATGGTCACATCCTTCTTTGTTAAGAGTTTTCATGATGAATTTGTGAGGAAAAAGGTAATCACATTTTTTCAAGAAATTCCATATGAACTGTGCAGACTATAGTAACTAAATGCGTGCTAATGACCTGGTGTCCATATTTCATAATTTAGCTGTGCATTAAAACTGTTATGTTAGAGCTTCTTTTTTTGCCATGGTTGTTGCAGTGAGCTCAGTATTAATGTACTCCAGATTCTGTTTCCTTAGAAGAGTAACAGATGTTCACAGTTTGGTGCAATTTTCAGATGAGCAATGCTGTTTATAATAAATTTTCCTGAGACCACCCAACTCATTTCACTTGTAACTTGAACTATGTCCAAGTGTTGATCTCAGGAGATGTAGAAGAGATGTAATAATTCTGTGCCCCACCCAGTTCAAAAGACATGACTTAGTATAGATGGAATTTGAATATCTATACTTCCAATCAACATAGAAAGTCAAAGTTTTATCTTGTGTGCCATGAAAAATAGAGGTGGAAGCAGCAACATTCTTACTTTCATTCATCAAGTATTCATAGGATCTGAAGATGTATATTGACAAGGTCTGAATGAAATAAAATTATAAAACAAAGAGGAACAGGTGAAAAAGCACAACACGGCAAGTAAAACTAAAGAAATTGAGATTTATCCTGGAAAATGCAGATTTATTAAACACAGGAAAAAAATCAGAAATGCAGTATTAAATATAGCTTGCAATGAGACAAAATGCATCATGTCTTGTTAGAAACAGTTGCAATAAATGTTGTGCTGCATTAACCAAAATATAGTGTGATTTTGATATGTCTCTATCTGGGACATTATTTTCATATGTCAAGCATTTAACAGCAAAAATAGTGTTGATAGGGTTTAGGGATGTTATAAAGCAAGTATTGAGGAACTTTGGGAGATGGAAAGGGAACCTTTAATTCATGCCTCTGCATTTATAAGAAGTCCTAGAGACTCAATCTTATCAGTTTTGTTAAGGCATGGAACAACTCCCAAAGGAAAAAAGGAGCTCTGAATGACTTGAGACCATGAAAATTAAACAAACAGTTCTGAATTGACAGTAATTGGTACTGAATGAAACAGTACCATTTTTTTTTCCTTCCCTGACATTTATTGTACTTTATACTTAACATTTAGTGCAGTGTTATTTTGAGATTATAAACTGAGAATTCAGAAAAAAGCATTGAGAGGTTCCTATGGCAACCATAGTGTGCACGTTATCTATATGAACATTATGATTACAGTAATGTGACATCGTGGTATTGAATCCTGCTGTTTGGCAGGTGTGTATTTTACAGTATGAGTTAATTGATGAACATAGAGTTATAGTTAAAATGACATTAAAATCAATAACCTGAATTTTTTTTTTTCAATAGAATATCTCTAGTGCGTGATGCAAGTAATTTCTTTAAATTTCTTGAAAGCACCTTAGCTGGGGGATTCTGAGCTGCATTTTTATATATGTTTCTTAGGCACGGTGAATACTCAACCCTGTCCTCTGACAGAAATCATTCTTCAGTCAGAACATGAGGGTTTTCATAATTGTGTGCAGTTGTGTCACAACAGCCAGTGTGTGAATGCGCAGATTGACAGGATGCTCTGATCCCTTGGCTCTCAATGGCTTTTGTGTTTGCTTAACTGCTTGCCAGCAGTGAAGATGCTATTTCAGCATCTTCCTTTCAGCTGGAGCCAGAAATACCAAATGCAAAGGAAACAGTGCTGCTGTGAAGACCGCTAAAAGAGATTTTTTTTAGTTAAAAATAAATAAATTCATTAATCATTGCTGCTCACTTTTCTTCCCCCCCCCCACCCCCTGCCTCTTTTTAAACTAGCAACCATAGGCAAACTGCCCCTTCAGTAATTCCTGCGTGTTGGTTGCTTCAAATTCCAGTCTTTCTTATTTGGAAATGAAAAACAAAATTGCCACTGCCTTGGTTACGTGTGCCATGACAGATATTAGAAACTATCTGCCTTTCATAGTCTTGACCTGAATATGTCCCTGGCTTTTGAAGAGTGACCTGTCTTGCTCTACAATAAAAGGCTTATGCTTTTAAGCCTGAACATAAAATCTTCTCTATCTCTACTTTTTATTTAGTTTTAAAATAATATTCTGTAGAATCAGTTGTTTGCTTTGTTGTTTTTTTTTCTTTCTGTTTTTCTTACAAAAATAAAAGAGAGGTTGAAACTCATATTAGAAGACATATGGGATGTAACCTTCATTCCTGCTTTAGCTCTGTTTCCCAGGAAACAAATCAGAGCAGCATGAAAAGGATCTAAAGCTCCTAGATCCGGTGGAGAAAAAGTGAAGGCAGGTCTAAAACCTGTCTTTTAAGGCAATGATTGCTAAGAACCTCTTAACAAAGCTGTAGTGTGAGATTTTTTGGGGGAGTGGAGTCTAAGTAAAAGGGTGCATCTGCAGTGTGCAAACCTGGAGAAATTGTCATCTGGGCAATTTTGCAACCTTTACTTACAGTTACTCAGGAAGGCTGTATTAATGTAGACAATCCATTCCCACGGGGACCATGATCAGTTCCTGGAGATGTCAGGCTGCTGGGGATCAACTGCCTGCAAAGGTGCCTTGGAAGTCCCTGGACTTTTGCCACCTGGTGTGTGAGCGTGGGCAGATGTGGTTTCCACCCGCACAGCGTGGCAGGCGCGTGGTGCTTTTTGAGGGGAGGAAGAAGAGCTGTAAACTCCTTAGCCCAGAAAAAAGCACCCGCCTTCTAAGTCCTGCTGTCTCATTATTTATTCGTGGAAAAACATTTGACTTCAGAGCACCAGATTTATGAAATAAAAGCAAAGTATTCAAGTATTTCTGTCAGTTGTTTGTAATGATAATTCCTGATGTTACTGGTAAACTACAGTGTCATGTTGTGGTGCTGCAGCTATTATTAAAATTGGACTAGTGCTGTCTTCCTATGGCTAGGGGGATTAGATTAGCACATGCACTAATTTGGCAAATAAACCACATCAACTATACTTAGTTTTGCTCTTGCTTTGTCTGGAAAGGTCATATAGCCTGGCCATTGACTGTATATTTTTTAATTTGCTACTTTCTTTAAGGCCTCTTTGTCTTCCTGTAAAAGTAGGGCTACCGTATGTCTGCCTTATGTGATCTTCACTTTGGGTGCTGCTGATAATGAATTTGAACTAGAGCTGGTTGAGAATTTTCTATCAGAATGAATTTCAACTAGAAATGTCTGTAAAACAAATTTATCAAAAGAAGTTGTTTTACTGATTTATTTTTTTAAAATACCTTTTCTAGTAGGAAAATCGAAACTTACTATTTTGTTGCATTTTGTTTAACCGTATTGGCAGTATTTTATTTTACAGAATTGAACTCAAGGATATTATCTTTGAGTTAGATGAAAAAGCAAAAGCAAAACTCTTAGAACTGTATGGCACACTGAAACTAGGCTTGATAACAAGTGATAATTTTTCAAAACTTTTGTCCCCCCCCCCAAAAAAAAAATACTGAGTGAACGTCTTCAAAATTAGCTCAGTTTTCTGTAAGAGTGACAGATGTAAACACATTTGGTCTTGTTTCTAAAGACTCTTCCAAAAAAAGAAAGTGCTTACAGGTGTTTGGTCAAGTGTTGAGATCTGCCTGTCTTCCCGCTGTGAAAGGGACAAGTACTCAACACTTGTCATATTAAGAAACAGCAACCAAGGGAGCATTGTGTATTTTAAAAAGAAAGAGGCAACCTTTTCTTGTTTAGTAAAGGCTGGAGCTTGATGTTAACTTAAATACAACCAGGAGATGATAGAAGCCACAGGAACAAGCGAGAGCGGGTTTTGTCATACACCGATACTAACAAGCATTAGAAAATATTGGTAATCAAGACTGTGAAAGATCCAAAAAAAGTTACCATGTTTCTATTTCTATTTTATATAGTTATATCAAGTTCAAAGTTTTGTCTTTCTTTTTTCAGAATGACCAGTCTATGCAAGATATGCAGATAATGGGAGGAGATGATCTTTCAAAGCTGACTGGGAAGGTTTGTTGATTTTAAATTTAAGAAAGAAAATACATCCACTAAAAACACTTCAGAAAAGCTATGTAATTTTGCACATGGATTGTCAGATACTAATATTGGAATCAAATTTATTAATCTCTATTAAATTGCTCTAATACCATTGCTTTCAGATTGCAGATGCCCAAAAAGGCCAGAATGTAGCTCCTCTGTCCCAGTGTAGGGGTTTCCCCAGAGTTATACACATGCCATCAGTGAGATTGTGGGCAAAATTTGTACTGGAATGCTTCTCCTGAGCTTCTTTATGTCATGGAGCCTTGTTTTTTCTGCCCTTGTTGGGTGCATGCAAGCAAACTGCATGTTGAGTATCCCTGTTGAATTCAGCATATGAGGAGTTTAATGCAGTTTTGCCTCCTGTACAAAGTTCAGTTGTGGAACTTTTCACTCAGGTAGTCGAATGGGATTTTTTTTTTATGACTGTATGGCTGAATTTGCCTTGCACTATGTTTGATCATGGTGGTAATGAGAGAGAGTGGTCTGAGTCAGTGAAAAGGCTATTTTCATCCAACCGTGGTAATACAAAGCAGAACTTTGAAGAGGAAGGAAGGCTGATTTCATTAGGTAAATGTTCTATGTGGAAAATGGTCAGAAATGGGTTCTTTACTTATGCATTAAGGCAACATAATACCTATCCTGTTATTTGCACTGTACATGCAGTTACTCTTTTATTAGCTGGCACTAAGTAATACCGGCTTCTTCAAAGCGCTCAAATGTAGCACTAGCAAACTCATTTGTTTTGTTGTACTATAACACACAAGAAAAAGAAGAGACAAACTGAACTTTAAATATTTCATTAATATTAAATAGGTTCTGATGCAACTAGAACTTAAATGAAAAAAATGCTGCTACATTCAGAATATTTTATTGATACATATGTCCTCAATTTGCACTTCTAAATACTGCTTCTGGGTGTTTGTTTCTAAATTATCACTACAGCATTAATCATGTTCTTGGAAAATATTAATTTGCTACTTACCTGTAGTCAAACACTGGAGCTACCTGTTCTTCTATGATGATTTTGCATGTTTCTCTACCTCACAGGCAGGCCTGGCAGTGCACCTGTTCATCTTACCTAACATATCTCTTTCCCAGATAGTCCAAACACTTTCTAAGCTTCCAAACCCAGATCCCCTTCCCCACCTTCCAATTCCAAATTTTCTCCATGAGTAGTTCCAGTTATTAATATCTTTTCCAGATATAATCCTTCTAATATCATTTGAATTCACTGGGTCAAAACATTATTTTTTCGCACAGGACTGTTGTGCGTGTCCACATGTGTATGAGAGAGATGGAAAATTTCACCCCAAGTAGTTCTGCTCTTTCCAAAGATGAAGTAAATTGTCTTATCCTGAAAATCCTGGTGACCTGTTTTTCATTGGCATGGTCCTCCTGTTTCCGGGGATGGAACAGGACATAAAATGTGGCTGTTGGGAGCCCAGGAGGCAGCTGGGGAGAAGACTGAACAGCAATGTAGTTTGAGGTCGCTGGGAAGGAGGCTGGGATCTCGGGTAGGTGGGAAGGAGCTGGTTTGGGAACAAAGGAGGCTGCTGATGAGGAGGGGATCCCAGAGCTGGAAGCTGGGTGTGGAGAGGCTGAAGCAGAGCAGGAAGGGAGGGCTGGGACTGCCAGGGGAGCAGACTTGCTAAAGGCAAGGCATGTTTGGCGGCTCTTTGCATGTGTGGTTGTCTGTGACACAGCCAATGTATGAATAATTAAACAGCATTTTCACTGTAACACGTGAGACTGGGGTTTCCTTAAGACTTATTTTATTGATTGAAAAGCTGGGATGCAAAGCTGGAGCTCAAATGTTCATACCTACACATCTAAAGTTGGATATATGAAGGAGTTGGCCTTATGTCCATGGATGCCAACTCCTCCATCTGTTGTTGACTTAGGCAATTAGTGCAAGTATTCAGCACATTTTACTAATCAGCCATTTGTAGACTGATTCAGAGCCTCCTACAGTCAATGTAAACCTTTCCTTGAAGTGTTTTTTAGTACCTTAGTTTAGCTGCTGGCTTTTAAAACTGCTGGCTCTAGTAACCATTCTGTCACTGAAAGAATTAGTGGAATACTTGCAGATAGAATTCAACTTTCCTGCTTTTAGGCTGCCTGGGTGCTTCTTCTGTCTGCTTGGAATACTTAATAAGAAAAGGTTGTAATTATATTGAAAATTTAATATGCCAAGTTAAGTCCCATTTACTTAGTGATCGTGGAGGGTGTTTTCAGAAGTGCCAGCATGGGTTCAGAGTGTAAGTTCCATTAAGTTTCTGCAAAGTTCAAAAGCTTCAATAACATAGAGAGTTTTGAAATCTGCAGGCAAAAGAGTCTGAGATTTTTATCTTAAAGTGCTCTTCATTAAGTAATAATACCTGGAACCTCAGCTAACCTATAATCTTAGTGAATAACTAAGTCATTTTCCATGTGTTACTTATTATTGGAAAAAAAGATTACTGAGTATATTCATGAACGTGCTGTTCTATAACAATGTTTTTTCTGAGGAAGCTTAAAGAAAGCAAGAAATTTTAAAAGCTAATTAAAAAGAGGCTGTTAAGGATAATAGCTCTTCAGAAGGAAGAATATCTCCTCTGTACTTCTATACAGAATGCTTTTGTTTATAAAAACATTATAAGCCTGGGAAAAATGTATAATGACCCAAACCACGAAAAAGAGAAATATTCTGAGAGAGGAGAGTTAGCATACAGACCCAAAGTGCTACCTGAAGAAAATCATCCCCAATTTGGAATTCGTCTTCTGTGAAGAAGGTCACAGAGTGAATCTTCACAGAATGATTTCCATGACAAGAATCATTAAAAAAGGTACTTGAAGAATGAGTCCTGATATAGCTTAAGACTCTAATGCTTTGTAGCTATTCATTTCTATGCAGAAAGAAATCTAATTTCAAAATCTCTCCTTTTGTGATGTAAGTGGTGAACATAAAATGTCTCAGTAGCTGATTTTTTAGTTAAGTAGCTGCTTAGTTCTCAATTACTTTAAAGCTGAAAAAAAAAGCTTTAGAGCTTTTTTTGCTCCTTTGGGCAAAAATTATCATTAATGTTTGTAAAGAGGAATAAATTTTGAAAATGGGGAGAAAACTAGAGGCATTGTTTCAAAGCAAGATGTCGATGAAAATTTATGTAGATGAGGTGAAAGAAGAAATTATATAACCTTATTTAGTATTAATACTGTAATCATACTGTATAATACTGTAAAAATTTTTAACATATTTTAAAGTACTTTTGGCATTTAAACAAAGTAAATTTTAAAACATCTAGAAGCTTCAGTAGGTTCAGCTGTGCCAGAGTGTGAGTTATCACTGCCATTTGCCTCTTGTACGGATGTATATTTTGTCCCAAGAGCTTTGGAGCTGGTTACATAGTCCAAGTCTCTACTGACAGGAATCATTCTTTATATCACTGCGTATGTAATATGTCCCGTAACCTCTCAAAAAAGCACTTATACCATTTTGACTCGTCTCCTTGCAAATGAGAGGTTAGACAAAATCATAAACTCAGAGTTTATATAATTTTGCAATTGCAAATTCTTATTACAGTAGTATAATGTATTTGATGTAAAAATTAGATCCATATATTTTTGTCTTTATCACTATTTCTACATAACATAGAATGTGAACAAAATTAATCATTCTTATTTGTTAGGTTAATTTCTAATTAAAACAAAGTAGTTATGTAGTTAGTATGATACAATTATGGAGCCAGTGATTTCTGATATTCCATCTGTCTGTCATATGGATCAATGCTTATGTTCTTTATGAGGAGCTATTCCCCTTGTTCATATTAAGTACATCTTGTTGACAGCTGGTGGTTTGGGCATTGTCAGAGAAGTGTAGAAGGTAACAAATAATGATCAAGAAAAAAAGAAAGTGCATGCTTATATTCTCTCTGTGCTTCATTGTGTTAGTTTGAGCTACTACTACTCTGATGCTCTCCTAAAATAACTGATCAGCTCTTATCAAAAACAGGTTTCACTCAGAGGAAGGTATCCACCATGCAACACTCCTCACTTCCTTCTGGCAGGATTTGTGCTATAAAATCACCAAACTTTCTTGATATGTATCACCTAAATCAATTTATCTACTGTCTACTGTTTTCCTGCCCCACTTGCCATATGGGAAGATGTTCCAGGAACATAATGCAATCTCACTTTCTTTTCTTATGCCTCTCATTTATTCTCGTATTTTACTGACCAATTTTCTCTACATGTCTTAGGTTCTAACAACAATTCTGAGGCCTGTTTCTCTAGCATTCTCCTAAATAAGTTAACATTTCAGTATTTAATAAAGCATAGATGTGGCAACTATGTAACACAAATTTTTATTCTTCAGATTTAAAATACATATTATCTTCTCCTTCACCATTCCAAGTTTGTTTCTCAGAATTATGCTGGTTCTATATTTGCCATTTTTTCTCTCCTTCAGTATTCACTGCCTTGACTAGTGTTGTGCTCCCTGTATGCATTCCTTTCTGGAATAATGCCCATAAATTTGCAGAAAAAAATAATGGTGTTCTCTTTAGAACATTATGTGCATGAGTGACTATTTATATGACAGTGGAGGTACGCAAAATCCACATACACTTCTGCGATAGTCATGTCTCCCCCACTTATCTCTACATCTTACTGTATTCCTATCAGATGCGCTGCCTCGCCTTTTTCATCTTTTCAAAGGTTGATTTTATGTGCCTTGAAGCATTCCACATCCTCAGTACCTCTACTTAACTGCCATCTAAGTGCTTTTTCTTAATTAGATTTTATGCTGTCTACTCTTCTGACAGTTGCCATCCTTAACTGCATTTTCCACAGTGAAAGACGCTATTTTTTTTTCTTCCCCAAAGTCAATCGCCTTTCTTTGCACTTCCTTCTTAGGTAATCTCTTCTACTGTTCATCAGCATTGTCTTTTTGTTGTTGTTGTTCTGGAGGAAGGAAAGTTCAAATAAAACTTCCC